GAAACATTAGGGGGGTGGTTTGGCCCCTACGTGTTTATTTGAGTCATGTGAAGTAAGAGCTCAGTTCACGTTTATAGCGCGAATCATACAGCGCACTTTTATATGAATGCCTGTAATTTTATTGACAAAGATTGCTTGATCAAAAGAGATGCATGATGGATTATTGAAAAGAAGGGCAATCCAAGGGAAATGGGGTCTTATTCGAAGTAACGGAGAGTCTTTCAAAATAGCCGAGTTCGAATGAGTCCAAATCCGAATCGGTCCAATTTCCCGACTTTTAATCCGATGACCCTCGAAAATCCGGCGGAAGTCCTTGGCTGATCTCATGAGCTCTTTTGTCATCTTCGGAATTCTTGGAAAGTTCTTGGGCAATATTCAGAATAATTTTGCCTTCCCATGAACGAAATTAACAAACAATACGCACACAACCATCGGTTAACCAATCAGAATACAGTAATTTTCCGATATAAGGAGATACGCTGTCCAGAAGACGTTTACGTTTTTGAAGGAGAAAGTATTTTTGAGGACGTGTTTATCGGAGATCGAAGAAGCTATAAGCCCAGCCGCGAACCAACCGCCTCTCCCCGAATGCAAATTTATAAAGGGGAAACACGTTTCACATGGCGACCACACTGAAGCGAAGGAATTGCCCATTGTTTTTGTAGAACCTACCAATTAAGCTATCATACGTTTACACAAAGGGATCAGACAAAGAATATACAATTGAGCTTTATTTCATAGAAGAATTTCACAACAGCGCAAAGAAGGAAACAACCAGAACAACGTACGAGATGGTTTTCTTTCAAGACTTCGTCAGTGTGTTGATTTTGTTACTTGTTCTTTTCTCCATTGCACATGCTCATGGAGATCACGACTCGGCCATGCACGAGTCTGCGCACAGCAAAGAGTAAGTGGTTTATATCTTCCCTTAACTTGAACACGGAACTTGACCATGTCAAAGAAAATCTAATTTCAACACGATAAGTTTTTACGAAATGATTAGTCTTTCAGTGAAACTAGTACGCCATTTAGGCATCAATGTTTGCCCAAGAAATGCAGGGTACATCTGTCCAAAATTATATTGCACAAAGCAGAGATGTGTATGGTTTTATATTATTTGCTTGAAATATGGTAAACAGCAGATGCTCTGCAATTTGTTCGTATCTTTGTAGTTTACGTGATATTGGTCTCTGGTCTGTATTCAGATCCCGCCAAAAGGTCCAGCAAAGTAGAAACGACTCACAAAAATTAAAGCTTTCAACGAGTAAAACAATGCTGAATTAATACATTATTATTTCAATTTTATTTACCTGTAAACCATTTATAAACCTGGAGGGGGGGGGGGGGG